AGCAAGGGAAACCGGGGACCGCCAGCGTTAGGAAAAAAAAAAGTGCTCCGCCGAGCTTGCCTTGTAGGATCAACTGTGCACATTAGAACAGATGTAACTGCATGATGTAACTATGCTGTTCGCGGTAGTATTGACATGAAGTAACAACGATGAACGCCGCAAGTAATTACGAGTGTAGCCACGCTTACAGTGCCAGCTTGCCATACGATAACTCATGCAAGCCCGCAAGCCGAGTTGAACCGCCAATTCACCGTGGGAGATTTCATTGAGACCAACGGTATCCAAGGTACGAGCCCTAAGAGAGTGAGTGCACTGCGGGTGCCCAGTAATTAGCAAGGTTTCGCCCGTGCTTGCAGACATTGCTGATGCAGCTTCAAGACACTTGATGTCCCTGCTTGTCACCCGTTTTTTGCCCATATGTCACCATTCGCAGGCAAGGTTCTTGCAATGGGCTGGACCTTCATTGAGATCCAGCGAGAAAAGGATCTGGTCATGCTGCCCAACTCACAGGCTGTGAGCCAGGGTGACATTCTGCGTGGGGTGACTTGCCGTTTGGAATTCTCCTGTCGATGTCACTATGTCGTGCTGCATCGACGAGTGCCGGAGGTGGTCGGGACAACGGTGGTTCAAATCGGACGCTTCTCTGGCGCTGAAGGAGGCGCAGTTGTGCTAATGAGCGTGGTTTGTCGCCATTTGTCGCCGTCTTCGTGTCCGTAATGCTCCGCGGCTGTCGGCCAGGAGACGGTGCTTCCGAGTCCACGAATGCATGACGCAAACCAGCGATGAGCTGCGCAGGGAGGATGTGCTGTGGTAAATCGAATTCAGCACCCTGCTATGCCGTGCTTCGACCATGTTATTCTGCTGCGTTTAGGCAGTCGGGCCTGTTATGCGATTGAGCCGCCTGCGTGCCGTGCCGGGCTCTATAGACTCGTCAAGCAGGGATTCCCATTTAAGTGAATATATGCTCCGTACTCCTGTCTACTCCCTGACATTAAAACAACTCCACATCCCAGAGTCGGAGCGCCATGGCCCCGAAGGCAGTCGACAGCCAACAGTTGATTTTGTGCGTCGTCCTTCATCTTTCCTGAAACGGCAGGAGAAGAAGAAGAAGCGGACCAACAAGCCGAGCCCACTGGAACGAATGAATGAAGCGCCTGTAGCCTCAGTGTGTTGACTTCGTGTTCATGTGGGCGGCAAAGGCCTGCGGGCTCAGTCGGCCTAAGTACTTTCAATTCCGAGTCTGTGCCGTGCGCTGAATTTTGGCCAAGTCGGCACGCTGGAGTGACCAAGTATCCAGGACGGAAGCGCGACCCCGGAAAGATCTTCGCCAGTGCAGGGGGGATTGTAGCGTCGCCGGTTGTACCAGCCCCACGCGATGTCCAATCCGCATCGCATCCCAAGCTCCTGAAACTCGGTTCCCCTTATCATTCACGTTCGGTGTCGTGCAGTCTCAATGCCAAATGCCAATTTCAGCTTTGCCCTAAACGTCGATGAATTCCGGGCTGGCTAAAACCAAGAAACTGATTTCCCAGTTCGGCCAGCCTGGGCGATGCAAGGACGGACGAAAACAAAGAGAGCAATTATTGAATCTGCAAGAGATCCCCGAAACAGATTCGCGTCGCGAGGGCCGCTCCGTAGGGTTGCAAAAAGTCTCCACAAACGAAGACGCTTAGGGATTCAGAGGGTCAGGATTTTAGGGTTAGGGTATTGCGAGCTGGGGTTTTGGCTGACTGCAGTGACAACAGCAGTATTCAAGTTGCGGCTTTGGTGGCGAAACTTGTGGCGTTTTGCTTGGTACTGGTCCCAGGCAAAATCTATGTTTGCCGTGGACATTTTGATGTGTACCAGTACCCTCCAGTAGCTAATTTCCAGTAACGATCGTGCAGAAGTTGTTGGACCATCGGACATTGCATCTGTCGAACGCTCGGGCAAGATGTGTCACCAGGATGACGACTCGAACTTAGTTGCTGGATATCTAATTTCCCCCCTAGGTTTGCGATGATGAACCTGGACGAGGATGCCAACATTTCGAAGGATGAGTTCCTCAAGGCAAGGCGGACGACAAGGTGAAGCGCAGGAGAGTCTGGCGTGCGTAGTTGTAAAAGAGAGTGTGTATATTTCTGATCATATGCCGTGCCGCAGGCTATGGAATCCGTCGGCATAGTTGGATCGCAAGCGGAAAGCCTCTTCAAGAGGCCTGGTCTTTCCCCGAGAAGTAGAAGCCGCAGCAGCCATCACCACGACGAAGAGACAGGCCTCGATGTACCAAAGAGTTTGCTCCAGATTCCCAGCATGCCACCCAACAGGAAATCGTTTCCAACAATGTAACTTTTCGCCAAGAGCACGGGGACAAGCTCTGAGCCCTCGGTGGATGTTTCAGGTTCGATCCAGATGGAAGTGGGCTGCTGGACAAACAGGAGTTGGCTATGCCTTTCCCATTACAGCGACCAGCAGCAGAGAGATTCTTGGAGTAGTCGCTCTACGTCTACATATTTCGGCATACTGCTTGTCCGACGGACTGTCCGGAGGGCAGTGTCGGTGAGTGTTCTATGGTAGTTGAGCGACTTGCCTGACGCAGTTGGTGCAGCAAGTGCTGCTATGCTTGCATCGTAAACGAGGAGTTCTTCGCTTATGCAGCCAAGGGGACGGCGGACGTCGGGCTCTAAGATTTTGACAATTTGCTGGTCTTCACTTGTGTAACCTTTCGTTCTGTAACCTTTCGTTCTGGCTCTCACATTTACTGGCCTCGCACAGTCTAGGTTTAAACTCTGGCAACAGCAGACACAAAACAGATATCCCTGCTTGCATGACAGCTTCGAGCGCTTCTTCGACGCAGCACCTCCGATGGGGAAGATCCCGCTGATGCGATTCTTCAGGCCGCCTCCGCATGACATGCACACGGAGATGGAGCTCTCGTAGCAAATTGTGGTCGACAATACCATCCAATGCTTCACCTGTAAAGTTTGCTGACGGATGATGTAAAACCGACAAGGGGAAGTTGGCTGTGGATCCAGCCGCCAGGCATTCCAAGCTTGGGACGCCGACCAGGCTGTGCTGCATGATATCCTCATCCTGACTGCATGACCCGAAACGTGGCACCATGCAGACCGGCTGAAAGTCAATTGTGACTCGACAGGACTTTCTAAATCCAAGCTGGCAGTAGTCGCCAGGCTGACAATCATTGCACGCACTGACATACATGATCTGGCTCCATACGTCGGGTCCGCAAGCGAGACTAACCTCTCGTAGGATTGGTCGGTCCATGGTGCACAGGATGGCACCATCTCCAAAGCTGAGCTGGAGCGAGTTCTCGCAGCTTGGGCTGCTCATGGTTCGCACTGCTAGGTTCCGGGTTCAAGCAATTAGAGGAGTTCCAAGTCTCCGAGCCCAAGAGTCCAAGAGGAGTGGGTATCTTCTGGAGCCAGTTCTGGTTGAGTCTTCGTAGGCTGCATTCAGAGCGAGGTCGTCCTGAACCCATCCTTCACCAAGAAGGACATGAACAAGCTTCTGAAGGCGCTAGACATCTTTTGACGGTTGTGCTTGCAATTTTGGAGAATGTTGTTACGGCGCATGTATGCAGGGCATGGACCAAAACGGCGATGGAATAGTAGATTACGAGGACATATCGCAGATCAATGTGCCACAGGGTTGTCATTTTCTCGCAGCTCCTGCAGGGGGTGGAGATTCGACTTTCCACCGCATGCTGACAGGAGTTTGCTGACTGGCTGTGCAAGACGTCCCCACCTTACGAATCTTGAGTCCGGCCGCGAAGCAGTTGGCCTGCCCACGCGCGCTCCTGGTCCAGGAAGTCGAAGAAATGAAGCTTATATGGCTTGACACAGACTCAACGTTTCACTTTCATCACTTCCCAGCGCTTTATGCTCGCAAACGCGGCTGTGGCGTGAGATCAGTGATGTCCCAGGGCCTGCGACGGTCGACGAAAATCATCTTTCCACCAGGAAAGTCCAGGAAAGTGCCCTGCTTGCACAGTTCATCTCGAGACTGACAGCGGGAACTTGAGAGAGCGTCCCAATTTGGATCAAGAGAGCTTTGCACTGCGTCTTCACACAGGGTCCAGTCATGTCATGTCTAGGACTCAGAGTCGCCGTCTGGCGGTTCTGCACAGCGGCAGACCGTCAACAGGACAGTTTACTTAGTTTACTTAAAGCCAGAGCCCAGCCCGTGGAGCCCCACCTCACCAGCGTTCGGAACAGCATGTCGTACCTTGAGCTTCTGTAGCACGATGTCGCCACATGCTGTGCTCGCAATCTCGTCTCTCGGCTTGCAATGGCGGCACAAGGGAAGGCCCGGACCGGGGAAGGCTGCATGCTTGCGGAGGCCTGGTCCGACAGAGGATCGTTGCCGAGGTGGATTTCACTTGCGAGGGCCTTACGTCGGAATGCCAATCGCGGCGTGGAGCCCAGAACGGAGCCGAGGCCGCGCATTGCGCGGACTCACCGTCTTCGAGTTCCATGAGAGGCCCCAGCAATGTCAACTTGTACCTAAGTGAGCCATGGTGAGCCCATGCCGCAGGCATGAGTGGTTGCGTGCTCCATGCCATCTGTGTGGAAGTTTTTCTCTCGAATCATGAATCGGCGAGAACTCGTGTGGAAGTTGACGTCGGGCCTCCGTGCAAGGGACGTTGGCGAGAACGAGGGCCACGAGGTTCTCGTGCACCTCCCGGCACATAGCGAAAGTTGCAGGCAGGCTGAACATGTGAAAGCCGTTGAGGATGTAAGATCTCAGCATCGGGCAGGGCCAGAATTTGCTGTTCGCATCGGTCCGCGCGTCCTCCAAAGGCAGAGGCTCCCAGCTTGTTTGGTGCCGTGTAGTGTTTCCCGCACCGTTCGTGGACTCGTCTTATCTTGAGTAGTGACAAGACCCTTCGAGTGTGCGAGGACGAGGCTGAACTGAAGGAGCACAAAGTTTGCTCTTCCTGGAAGTCTGCAGCAGACGACTCTGACACAGAGCCCTTGGCATCATTATCATTGGCCAAGATCGGGGCCCCGAGCTGGACCGAAGTGGACTCTGACGAGAATGCTGTGCAAGTGTCAGGCCAGGCCAAGGATTTGTAGTATAGTAGCTCTTAAACGACCTTTAGAATATTACAATGTAGCTGTTATAAAGACCATTGGGATATGCAGCAACCCATAATATCAGCAAATCTTATTGTGTGCCCACAGTGGCCCTTATAATGAGCTTTACGTTTACCTGATGGGCGCCTGCAGGTCTGGAAGATCTGCTGAGCTGGCAGAAGGGTTCAGTGCAGGCCACGACGAAGTGATGTTACGAATAAGGGTCACTCTCCGGGTTCCCATACGGGTTACCATAAGGCTTACCATGAGGGTTACTACCAGGTGCATCGCATCGCAGCTTCTCGTGGTAGCCAAGTCGATTGCCAAATCATTCTGAGTCATGTGAGGTGCTTGCCCTTCATCTTGATGGCATCCTTGATTTCGCAAGCGAGGACTTGGACGAGACGCTCCTTGACATGTTTTGCATGCGCAGTTCTCCCGGGGATGCTAGCTTCTCCTGCCCACTCAGGCTGACATCTGTTGAGATTGCGGTCCAATGGGTCATCGAAGGTGCGAGACTTCCCGGTCTCTCGATGTATCCTCCATCCTGTGATGTTGCTTCGTGTGTGCATCACGTGTAGGCCAGTGGCTGCGACCGGAAACTTGCTGCAATCACTTTATCCGCCTTCCGGTCCATCCACGCGATGCAGGCAAGCTGTCTCTGTCTTGTTGTCTTCTCTCGCCCCGCTGTCTCT